TATGCTATATACATGTATGAAGTACTGTATATTACTTGCGGATAGGTCACACCCCTATTTTATGGCTTAATAATTGATGATTTACTGTTGAATCGCAGATAGGTTGCACTATAATCTGGGGAGTTACACAAGTTTATGACCTGCTTTGTTTTATTTTCAAATTACATCTTTTCGGCGCAGAAGCTAAGCTAAGTTAAGCTTGGTTCAAAATATTTTAAATAAACATTATAATTTCTGATTTTCTTAATGATAAATTGATATTTAAAAGAAATTCAAAGGGAGATTTTCAGTTTTTTTATAAAATGGAAAAAAAGTGGTCAATTTTGCTGACTCAAAAAAAAAAACAAGGTTTTTAACGAAAATTTCAGACGTGCTAGGAACGATTCAAAAATATAAAAAAAATACCCCCAAAATACTTTGCTCTTTCCTCTTAGTAATAACATAAACATGTAAACGATAAAATTTTGTTTTCGTCAAGTTTGGGGTCTTTTTCCTCATGTTGTGCTCTTTTTTTAGCGATCTCGTGGAGGTACCTAAGTTAAATGATGACAACATTTTTTTTCCTGTCTTTTTTTCTTTTAAATTAAAAAAAAATAATTAAGAAGGTAGAAGTTACCCAAATACTCAAAGGATGTATTCAATTATCCAATTATGATCAACCACATAATTTTCAATATTCGACCAGAAAATGTTTTATTTTCACATTAAAAGCGAAATTACAATGCTTGGATAGTGAAAGATGCTAAAATTCAAGAATATCTTATGTTTTTTGATATGGAAGTTTGAATTTTTTTATTTTTTAAATGATTCTCCCCCCATTTCCTACGCTAAAAACTTTCGGTTTAGGTCACTGTATAAAATAAATAAAATAGAAATATTTCTTAAATCCCCTGAAAAGTCTCACCTACTTATCTCCTTAACATTTCATTAACATTAATGCCAACTTCCTTAATGACAGGTAAATCAGCTAACTTTGTTTCTAAAAGGAATGTAGGAATGTCCTTTGTGTTGGTTCTTTGATCTTTTGTCTACACACCAGTTTTGATATAAACTCAGGAAAAAAGGGATTCAAGGTCACTTCTCTCTACCTTTTTGCCAAATAGCAGGGCAGGTTGGTCCACTCCTAACCACCAAACAACTAATTAGGACAACTGAAGGAGGGGTATCACTCTCTCTCTGTTCCAACAAAGCTACAAACTGTCGCACAAAGAGGACACAACCTCATAAAAAGAAAATAAACCTTCCAAAACAACATTCGCTCAGTATTCATTCATTCATTTTGGATGTAAAAACCAACATTCTACACCAAATACCACAAGACTATCATTGAAAAATATTCTTTTTGCTGTGTCCCTTCAGGATGTGGGTGATCATGACTCTCTACAACATCCCATCCTTAGCAATGTTTGTCTTTTTACTATCATTCCAACTGCCTGTTCTGCCATCCACTTAAAAATGTTTCTCTTGCCTTCAATATGTCCCGTGAGTGTTAAATTTTCTAAGCTCTCTTTCCTCATTATGTCCTAAAAGTTTCAATGGTCTCTTCCTGATTCAAAGTATAAGTGTCTTAATTCCATTTTAAAACTTCCTCATTGCTCAAATGCTCCATGCATGTTATTCTCAACATTCTTCTGTAGAACCACATTCTTATTTATCCTGGTGGAGTTTGTCCAGCATTCACTGCCATATAGGAGGATTGATATTACCTATCAGTCCAGTAGTCTTTGTTTCTAATGAAATTTTCCTGTTTTTTAATGCTTTATTTACTGTTCCAATGCAACTTTGGATTTCAGTGTTACATTTCCTGTTGTCTTTTTAAACACTTATATTTAAATTTCTATACTTGTTTGATTTTGACATCTCTAATTTGTAGCTTGCATGTTTCTCTTGCTGACAATTCTTACAATTATTGGTTAATCCTTCCTGCTTTCTTTTACTTCCTTGTCTAGGAGTTTCTGCTATCAACATTGTATCATCTACATATCTTATTAAGATTGTACTGGTAGGACTTCTAGTTCTCTTCAGATCACCTTGCTATATACATTAAATAAATCTGATAAGAATATTCTTCCTTGACTTACACCCCTTTCTATTTTATTTGAATTGAGTAAATATTTGATTTTCTATGCATATACAGGCAGTTTGATTTCAGTATATATTGTTCTAATATTGTCCATAAATAACTTAAGTTTTCCTAACAGTTTAGATAGTTTTTGGTGTTGTACCTTATCAAATAGTAAACACAATTATCACACAACTCCTTTCAGCAAAATTTATTCTATTGAATTAGATAAACCCTACATATGAAAGTTATATTATTTTGTTTCTCTCATGTTTAATTTATTTGGGCACAGAAAATATTTTAGGCTATAGATAGTGAGGAGTTGGTAAAAGTTACAAAAGAGATGCAAAAAGTTATCATTAAGCATTTATTAATGATGTTAATTTAAAAAAAAAAAAAAAAAAGGATGATCATAGGTACTTCCACGAGATCACTAAAAAAAAAAAAAAAAAAAGTGCAGCATAGATGATGAAAAAGACGCCAAACTTGACGAAAACAAAATTTTATCATAAATGTTTGTTATTGAAAGATCAAAAAATATTTTGGGGTATTTTTTTACATTTTTTTTTTTTTTTATTATTCCTAGCACGTCCGAAATTTTCGTTAAAAATCTTTTGAGTCAGCAAAATTGACCACTTTTTTTCCATTTCATTTTTAACTGAAAATCTCCCTTTGCAAGATTTTCCAGATTAATGTGTGTCATACCCACACACACACACAAAAAAAAAAAAAAAAAAAAACACGTGCTAAAAATTGTCTGTTATTTTTAGTTACTAGTTCCGGTGATACAAAGAGAAACAAAGGTTTTTGTTTTTTTTTAAATCAAAATTTAGAATGTTCTAAAAAGAAGGAAAATTTTTTAAAAATAATTAAAAAAAAACTTTGGTCTTTCCTCTTAATAATAACAAAGCATTTAGACGATAAAATTTTGTTTTCGACAAGGTTGGCGTCTTTTTTATGAAGCTATGCTCTTTTTTTAGCGATTTCGTGGAGGTACCTAAAACTTGTTATCTATTTTGTTAGGGTTTTTCCTCTAATTAGAAAAAGTAAAAAAAAAAAAAAATCTAGGCGTTTTTCGCCTAAAAATGTAGGTCACATTGTCTGAGACAGTGCAAACAACATTTCAAACCCAAATATCTCTGATTATAAATAAAACAAATAATTATTATACAAGAAATTTCATCAATTTTTTCTTTTGTGAATGGCACAAAGTATAAACCCTTTTAAATTTGGGGCATATTTTTTTCACATATCGCTTTTTCATCAAAAGTGCGGAAAAATCGAAATGAAACATTTTAGTGATTAAATATAGAAATTATGTAGATGAATTAGTTTTTTTTACGGTTTACCATTTCAATGTCCGGGCGTCAGAATATTTTAGTTCCTTGATAACTTTTAGCCTTAGCGTCATTTCTTAGCCTTTCAGTTTTTAATGAACATATGTATGTCAATTTTAAATCAGCGCACAGAATTGTACAAAAACAAGGATTTCTTCGAATTTTATATATTTTTTTTTTATTTTAGTCTTGCGTGAACTTTCAAGTGCATAAAAATAAAAATCTCAAGTGAAAAAAAATTATTGCAGTTATCCACTCCTGAGCAATTATCTCCGTAAAATAATATCAGAAAAAAACGTAAATCTAAATAGCCATCAGTAATCAAAAAACCTTTAGTGTTGACTGAAATTGCAGTGTATGTAGCTTAGTCGACTCTTTCGTTAGTCACATCAGTATATTTTGATTTTCTTTATCTGAATTTCAGCGTCATTATTCTTAATTGTACTCATCCGAAATGTTGTGGTGAAGATAACAAAGATGACGTTTATGGCTAGTCCGAATACACGGCGGAATATTGTTTTTAATTTTGATTTTTAACTCAATGAAAAAAAAAAAAAAAAAATATCAAACTTCCTTTATTTTCTTTGGGAAATGTACCATTCGAATGAGATTTACTGGGAAAAAAAATTATGATGACCTTGCATACATTTAAATTTTAAATTAAGTTAAAACTCAAACCGGAACTATAACCTGCATTTGTCGTGTAGTTGTGAAGAGGGTATCCCCGGATCCCGCATATAAAAAAGGGTGTAGTAATCAGAATATTCAGTCAAGAATTGTTTTAAAATGTTTTGTTCCATCGTGTGTAGACATTTCTTTGATTTTATTTTTTAAATGTTAAGTTTATTTCCTCCACCGCCAGTTTTACATGTTTAGAAGTTAAAAGTAAAAGGTAATTAAAAAGAAGTCACTAAATGTCGACTGAGTATAGGTGGAATTGGTACCTTAATAGTCTTTTCTAGGCTTAAAAATATTCTCAAAAAGAAAAACAAAAAATCACAGGAAATATGCACTAAAGAAACCGATATTGGAATTTTAAATTAAAATAGTGAATGATCGCGTACAAAAAGAGTAATTAATGCATCAGTTTAAACGTTAAGGCATGACGACAAAAAAATGAATTACAAACATTATAAATTTAAATAATAAATACCTACCATATCCAAAACATTTTAAAAATACATAGTTTACAATTTTTTAAGTATAACGAATTCAACTTTATAAAAATTACGAACGAGCATGAATTTGCATTGCAGGGACAAGTTATTTTCGATAAAAAGAAAATTACATAAGTTGCGACGTTAACATGTCATGAAATATTTAAAACAATCTGAATAAATATTTTACAAAGCTTCGAAAAGCAAACTACGTATGAAACATTTAAGACAAATGACTAAAAAAACTACTTAGGTAAAACTTTGCAGCTACTAGGCTGACTCAAAGCAAACGAGTTGAGACAAAAATAATTTTTTAACAAAATAAGCAGTTCCAAACTTGTGTATTTCAGTTAATAATAGTATACATGAATAATTCGTTTGATATATATATATATATATATATATATATATATATATATATATATTTTATACGTATATTCTTACCTTCGCAGATCCAGGAGTTAAGCCTTCGGTTTTCAAACCCCATGGTAGCTTCTCCGCCATGTTGATTTAAGTACTTCACAATGAATTATCGTGGTTTGTACTGAGTAATAGTGGCACTAAATTTTGATACTACGTACCTCTTTTATCTGAACATTTTACTATAAACAAATTCAAACAAGCATAGCAGTCATCTAGTTTTTTACTCTACATTTTTACTTTTATAAAACATAGTTTAAATCAGCAAAAAATAACCATTTTTTTTTTCATTGTTATCGTAGTTTTATCCCTTAAGATTTAAAGATTTCTAAAAATAGGTAATAAAAATTTTTTTAATACCTTCTGAACAAATTATACTAAATTGAAATAATCACTGAATCAAGACAGCAATCACGATAAAGTTTAAACATGGAATAGACAGAAAAGATAAAACATCACGCACTTGCTCTCGTGTAGCTTCATGGGAGGTAATCGAGTTGACACGGAAATAATTTTACACAAAAACTAAAAAGGTCAACTAATAGATTTTAAGTTTGTAACTAACATTATTACAACTTTACACATAAAAATATAATTATCTGAAAAGTAAACAAAATTAATTGTTACAGTTGACGTCATTTAATATCGTTGTCAATATTTTTCTCTGAGATTCGCTTTCAAAATGAAACAGATTCAGATAGTTCGCTTATGTTCAGAAACAAAGTGCAAAAGTAAAACGACCAAACGATGAGTCAAATAAAAAAATTAAAAAACCGGTTCAAGTGGTTAAATTTTTCGTATACAATTTAAAAAATAGTTCTAAAAATGAGTGACAATTCAATATCCTATAGTAAATTAACTTTGTTTTTAGGAGTGCAAGAAAAGTTATTCAATGTGAAAACAAAAAATGTTCCAAATAATGAGATTTTTAAGGTTCGCTTATTTTAGTTTTATTTTATTTGAATTTGCATTATTGTAACATTACTGTTAAAAAAAACACAAACACTTTTTTGATGTGAAATTGACAGAAAATTGTCATTAAGTATTTGGCAAAGTTTAACCTTCATGTTCACAATAGAACGGTGTGTTAAAATTAAATGGACGGTTTTTCTCTTGACACCATTATTATTTTGTATTACCTTCACTTCCTCAGCAATATTTATTGTTTTGTTTTTTCATTTAAAGCATGCTGAATTTTAATTTTACTGTCCTTTTGTAGTGACTGCTACTATGTTTGCCACGCCTACATTTTTCTCAACTGTGATTGGTTAAATAATAAATACTAATTATCACAGGACAATTTACTGATCGCATTCACCACACTGAATTTTTCCTACCGTTAATTCACAAACATGCTTTTGTTATAAAATCACCGATTGGTTAATTTTTCATCCAATCAGATATTCTTTGTGTTCTTTCAAAATTTCTCCTGCCTTTGTTCTCGGAGCCTACTGGTAATAATAAAAGCCAGGTTTCATTCCAAAAATAGACAGCAGAACACAGCAATTCACAGTCTATTCATTCTACTCACTGCGCACACAGACACAGAACTTGAATATCATTCACCATCAGTTCTCTGTGAACAAGCCAAGTTACCAACAACGCTGTTAGTTATACAAATAATACACAACTGAATTTACTGTATGTTCTTCTGAATACAACATTCTATTTCAATACAGAACTTTGAACATTCTATTCAGAAAACTTGCTTTCTTACATTTTATCTTATTCAGCTAACAGATAAAGGGAAACTAATTTTTTCTCCTTATTATTCACACATTACAAAAATTGTTTTGTATTTGTTGATTTTAATATATATTTTATCGTTGAAACAAAAATAGGTTTTCCGTTGTTTTTTCTTGATTTAAAAATGTATAAATGTTAAATGCTCTTCAACACGCAGCCACATTAATCTTTTCAACACAACCAGCATTTACATTTTGTAAATAGGCAAAAAATATATGACATTTTTTCAGTGGATTTGTACAATAGTTCTCTTATTGAGACCAGAAATAATCTTTTTTTAAATTGTTTTTCTTAGATTAAATAACTAATAAGTACTATAGGTCACTAATATTTGAAAAGAAGTTTTTTTATTAAATTTAAAAAATTAATAGGCGTCCCGTCTGTTATGTAAAATTCATTGTAAATTGATCCTCCTTATGGAAGCCAAAACACAAATGCTTATACGGTGTGATTTCTTAAAATTCTCTTCCAAAAAAAGAAAAGCAACAAGCTTTTGTCACAAACTCTTTCAGAATCTCCACTTGTCATCTACAGCGACAGCAAAAGTCCAAGTTGTACGTACTTACATCCATCTCCATCGAAAGATCATCGCACATAAGAGAATTCATTTTTCTATCAACACTTAACTGTTCTCTTACCATTAACTCATCGACGGCAGGCAACCTAGCATCTTTTAAACAACTGTTGCCACAGTATCAAACAAACCTTACCTCTCATCCTAAGCAACAAGTAGGTTAAGAACCCACAAGCCTTCACACATGGTACTTGTATTTTCTGGATCTTTCCCTTGGTCTATAGTAAACATTTTAACAACTTTCTCCAACTCTTTCCTCTTCAGGAACATTTGGAGCCTTCTGTTTTTGCTGGATCTTTCCTTGGTTCTTCTTCTTCATTCTATGTTGACAAAAGTTCTCAACTTTGTTCAACAATAAATATTTTTTATAAACACAACAAATACAATTTATTCAATTAAGAATGGAACAAAATTTATGTTCGACCGGAATGAATTTACCACAGATCCAGAAAGCGATTCAGCCGACAAGTGCTGGAAACATTGGCGGAGACATTTACAAATTTCATCGAGGTTCTACATTCAGAAAGACCGGGACGTCCCATCAATAAGCGTGCGCTATGAACCAACTACCTGTCTCACACAGTCAACGAAATTATCTCGGATTGCGTTACCTACGAAGAAGCAATCGATGTACTGAACGCTATTCATACATAAAGCCCCAAAATGAGATATTTTCTAGACACCTACTTGCGACTCGCCGACAAGAATCAGGCGAGACATTGACCATTTCCTTAAGAGCCTTCGGACACTGAGCAAAGATTGCAACTTTGCCCAATGACGGCATTAGAGGCCCAAGAGCTACACATTTTGGACGCTACTTTTGACGCCATTAACGGCTTACGCAATACTCAGATAAGACAACGTCTTCTTGAGAATAAGACCTTACACTTAGAACAGCTTACGAGCAAGCCTATATCTTCGAAAGTGCTATACAGCAGTCTAGTTCTTATTTACAGCCAGACACCGTGGGCGCCGCGTTAAACCCACCTGTTCTTACTGTCCCCCCTCATGACGATAGTCCGACGAAGCTTCAAGAACAATCGGTCACTGCCGCTTTAAAAAAGACACTTGCTATTTTTGCGGCTTATCTAAACACCTACGAGTCTCATGCCCTGCCAGAGATACTCGTTGTCATAAATGTGGAAAAACTTGGTCATTTTTCAAAGGTATGCAAGTCTTCTAAAACTCTATACAAATCCACTCGTCAAAATACTTCTGCAACTTTAGCCGCCTCCCCCCGACTGCCTTTCAAAAACTATTGTAAATGAAAATTAACGGGAGGTCTACAAATGCCCTGCTCGATACCGGGAGCTCAGGAAATTTTATCAAAGAAAGCTTGGTGAAAACCAACAAATTGTATTTTGTCCCCTCCCCCAGCAGAGTAACAATGGCAAACGCGTCATTGTCTGCGCAAGTAAGTGGTTATTGTTTGGTGGACTTACTATTTAATGACGTCTCCTATAAAACCACTAAATTATCCGTAATGAAAAACCTTTGTTGCGAAATAATACTGGGACACGATTTTTTGCAGCAACACTCGCAGGTTGAAATTCCGTTTGGCGGTTCAATGCCCGCATTGAAAATTTGTGGATTGGCGACAGCAAAAATCCAGTACCCGTCACTTTTCGAAAACCTAACTGAAAACTGCAAACCCATAGCAGTGAGAAGCAAACATTTTTCTTATAATAATAAAAAATTCATTGACTCTGAGATAAAAAAGACTACTTGAGGAGGGTATAATTGAGCCTAGCAAATCACCCTGGAGGGCTCAGGTAGTTATAACCACTTCTAGCAACCATAAAAAGAGAATGGTTATAGATTACTCCCAAACCATAAATAGATTTACTCTTTTGGACGCCTTCCCACTACCCAGGATAGATGAAATGATAGGCGAAATAGCCAAATATCGTATGTTTAGCACTCTGGACTTGAAAAGCGCGTACCATCAGATCGCCATTAGACCTAGAGACAAGCCATACACTGCTTTCGAGGCGAACGGTCGACTATATCAATTTCGCAGGATTCCTTTTGGCGTTACGAATGGGGTAGCCAGCTTCCAAAGGATAGTCGACCAAATCATAACGGATGAGAAACTGGAAGGCACATTTGCGTACATCGACAACGTCACAGTATGTGGCCATAATAGAAAGGAACACGACGAAAATCTCAGACGGTTCATGTCCGCCGTCGATAAATACAACCTTACCCTAAACGACGACAAATGCTCGTTTGGACTGGACAAAATAAACCTACTGGGGTATACCATAAGCAAAGGTTTTATGGCACCGGACGCAGATCGATTGAAACCTTTACTCCAGATGCCTGTCCCTCACAACCAGCCTTCCTTCGACGTGCTATGGGCATGTTTGCTCATTACTCTCAATGGATTGCTTCGTTCTCAGAAAAGATACATCCATTGACACAAGTAGAGACGTTTCCTCTGTCCCATCAAGCCGTTGAGGCATTCGAGGGACTGAAAAAGGATATTGCGAAATCTGCAATTACAACAATAGACCAAAATATTCCTCTGGTTGTTGAAACGGATGCGTCAGACTGTGCTATTGCTGCTTCTTTGAAACAAGCTGATCGTCCTGTAGCCTTCTTTTCAAGGACCCTCTCACAGGCTGAACGACGACACCCCGCAATTGAAAAGGAAGCCTACGCCATAGTCGAGGCATTAAGAAAATGGCGACACTACCTGATCGGACGCCACTTTAAACTTATTACTGACCAGAAATCAGTTGCTTTTATGTTCAACTCTAAG